AGTCTTCACTGTAGATGTAATGATGTTTCTTAATGAATCTGACCTAAAATTACAAGGCAAAACAGTGTTTATATATATATATAACTTTTACTGCATGCAGTAAAGTCATTTTGAAGACAACTAATGTTTTATCACAAAGTCAAGCTGCTTTATACGTTTCTCATTCTGTCAAAAGTTAAAACAAGAAGCAAGATCTTGATTCTTACACAAATTTTCAGCAGATATATTTTATGAATTCAAACTACAGTTCCAGCAGTGTTTCGCCAACCTCAATGCAAGAGCAAGGAGATTTCCAGATCTTAAGGTCCACTGAACTATACAATTGAGGAGCTTCCATCTAAACTTCAATTGGAAGTGATTAATCTCCAATGAAATATGTTCAAAGGCAAATATCAAGAGAAGAATCTAACAAAATTCTACAAATGCCATCCAAGAGAGGAATATGCTCAACAAATAATAGATGCTTATAAATCAGTATTTGGCAGTACCCATGTGTAAAAAACGTTTTTAAAGATGAAATATAAAAATCTCATTGCAAATCAGAACATTTGCAATCAATTTTGATAGAGTAGAATACTAACTTTAAATTCTAATTAAGTGAAATGTTATCCCTCCAAAAGAATTCACTTCTTCTCATTAGAACTGTGTTATGTGAAGTTGCACTCATTATTATATTTTGAATTCTATCAATGAAAAGTTTGAGGAAGGTTTCTCTCTTGTTATATAAGCATGTACACATGATATCCTTGATTTTGTGAATTGACCTGCAACTTTACTATATAGCCCCTTACAGAATTTTTCTGACTCTGACCAAATCAGTAGTTTATAAGGTAGTTGGTTCATCAAATTCTTCTGTATTAAAAAAAACCCACATAACTGGTTCACCTATAACTTTTTAGTTACACAGGTGATTCTGATACTCAGCTGGGCCTTTGCACCATTGCTCTATAGCTATTCTCCCTGATCACATTTAGCATCAATCATCTACAGCTGGAATCACTATTATCTTAATTTCAAACAGAGAAACTAAGCAGATGATGCCAGCAATTTAATTGAGCAAGTCACTGGCCAAACTGGGTGTAAAACTCTTAGGATTCCTGACCCCTGATTATTAGTAAAATTAAAATAAAACTGACAAGGGACCTAGAGAAATAGCTTTGAAAAACATGGTGTAAAGGTGGAAGAGTAGGAGATTATTATTCTCCTCAGCCTAGTTTAATGTATCTTTAATGGGCTACCAACAGGTCTATTAATTTGTTCATTCATGCAACAAGTATTGAGTACCTATTTATACATGCCAGGCTCTGTTCCAGGTATTGGGAATACAGAAGTGAACAACAAAGACCAAAATCTCTGCCTTCATGGAGCTCACATTTTAGCGGATGGAAAACCATTAATATCTCTGTAGCACCCCTTCAACATGGCCGAAGACTGTGAGCAAACAGTCTAAGAGTCCAAAAACTCAATTTAGCTTTATATAATAGAAGATGACCGGTGCAAATTCAAGGTAAGTCTGTATAGCTGGTGTTGGCAAGATGAGGAAGTCCATGATGGCTGATCTACTGATTTATTAATAACTTTATACTTTAAGCTTGAGGTTATATCAACAGAAAGTGACAGGGTTGGATGTGCATATGTATAATGTAGTTGGTTGAAGTAGTTGGAAAATGCCTTAGAGAAACAAAGTTAAGACTCTCCACCTAGTATGGAATGTTCAACTGATGTTGGTCATTAGTAATATCAAGCTTCCCTCCTGCTGTATGATTTCTTCTAGCAGTGCTCAGAGTTCATCCAGAGATGGGATTTTACTAGGAGGAAAGTGGGAAAGCAGGTCAAAGAAGCTGGGATTATCTGCAAGACCTAGATTATCATAACTATGGAGTTCAAGTTGGATAAGGAGGTAAAGTAAAGATAAGAAGGGCTTATTCATTAATCTACCACGCCATCTGGCTCCTTTGTGATTTATGAAGAAAGTGATTAAAGAGGCATCTTCACACCTCTTCCACAAGAAATTTTCATTTGTACTTTATGTAGTTGAGAAATACCTGCTCTGTTGGGAAAAAAATAAAAGATAGGAGGGAACTAGTGGATGGAGAAAGTGGTAGAGCTGAGTAGGCTGAAAGGGGGCAGGAGGAATCCAAGCTTACCAGGAATAAAAATACCATGAACAAAGCCTGACTGAATAGAAGAAAGGGCACTTACAACTCTTTTGTCCAATAAAATGTCAAAACCTTAAATCAATGGGATGGACAGGAAAATAATTTTCACACTGGTATTGCAATTATTTCAGAAACTATAAATGTTATAGCATGAAAATAAAATTATAAACAATTTAATCTGCATTAGAGAGGGTTCTGTTTAAAAAGGATTTTGATGTGTATTAACACTTAAAACAAGGAAAAACCTTTACAATGTCTGTTATCCATGCTGAAGTTGATTTTTGTGAGAGGTGAGAGAGATGGATCCTGTTTCAGTCTTCTACATGTGGCTATCCAATTTTCCCAGCACCATTTATTGAATAGGGATTTTTCCCCCCACTGTATGTTTTTGTTTACTTTGTCAAAGGTAAGATGGCTATATGAGGATGGTTTTATATCTGGGTTCTCAGTCCTGTTCCATTGGTTTATGTCTCTGTTCTTGTGCCAGTACCATGCTGTTTTGGGTACTATAGCCATGTAGTATAGCTTGAAGTCTGGTAAACTGATGCCTCTCAATTTGTTCTTTTTGCTTAAGGTTGCTTTAGCTATACAGGGTCTTCTCTGGTTCCATACGAAGCGTAGAATATTTTTTCTAGATCTGTGAAGAATGATGTTGGTTATTTTAATAGGGATTGCATTGAATCTGCATGAAACCATAAGAATTCTATAAGTAAATGTCAGAAAAACTCTTATAGATATTGGCATAGGCAAAGAATTTATGAAGAAGACCCCAAGAGCAATCACAGCAACAACAAAACAAATAAATGGGACCAAATTAAAATGCTCAGTACAGCCAAAGAAACTATCACTAGAGCAAATAGCCAACTTACAGAATGGGAGAAAACATTTACATGCTACACATCTGATAAAGAGCTGATAACTAGAATCTATATAGAACTCAGGAAAATCAGCAAGAAAAAAATCAAACAACCCCATTAAAGAATGGGCAAAAGACATGAACAGAAACTTTTCAAAAGCAGATAAAGTAGTGGCCAAGAAACATATGAAAAATGTTCAATATTTCTAATCATCAGAGAAATGCAAATCTAAACCACAATGAGATATCACTTAACTCCAGTGAGAATGGCTTTTATCAAAAAGTTCCAAAACAACAAACGTTGGCGTGGATGCAGAGAGACAGGAACACTCATACACTGATGGTGGGACTGCAAAATAGTACAACCTCTATGGAAAGTAGCATTCAGATATCTCAAAGAACTAAAAATAGAACTACCATTTGATCCAGCAATCTCACTACTGGGTATCTACCCAAAGGAACAAAAGGCTTTCTATAAAAACAACATCTGCACTCAAGTGTTTACAGCAGCACAATTCACAATTGCAAAGATGTGAAAACAACCCAAGTGCCCATCAATACATGAGTGGATTAACAAAATGTGGTATAAGCATACCATGGAGTACTATTCAGCCATAAAAAACGAACTATGTCCATTGTATTATCCTGGATGGAAGTGGAGCCTATTTTTCTAAGTGAAGTATTACAAGAATGAAAAAACAAACACCACATGTACTCACCATTAAATTGGTACTTATTAACACTAATGTGCACATATGGGAAGTAACATTCATAGGGTGTTGGGCAGATGGGAGAGGTGAGGAGGTGATGGACGGGTAAATCCACACATATCATATGTGGTGCACACTGTCTGGTTGCACCACCTGAAAAGTATACCCATCCCCCAAAGTGTTTGTATCCCTGTAATATTCTGAAATAAAATAAAATTTAAAAAATCTTTACATTGAGTGTTGATTTGTCTGTTTTCTCTAAGTTTGCACAGCTATACAATGATTTTTTTAAGTAGGGTTATTCTTCAATGGGGTTAAAAATAGTGCGAGCATTTTTTTCATTAATGTTTCATCAAATGGATAACACAAAGATGAAGAATTTCAGAATTTCACCTGGCATTCAGTTGATGCCAATAATCTGTCATGTGGCAGGAAGGCGGCCTCAGTGATCTCTCAAGGTCCATGCCATCCTTTTAAACATATTACTCCTTGGGCTCCATGAGTTTGCTCATTTGCAAAAGGTAATGCCATTGTTTACTGGATAGCCCACTTGATTCAAACTGACAAAGGCAGCTGCAGAAATTCAGCATTTTTCTGCTATCCCACTCATACTTTTTGGTATTTATTTTCCTGTTTCTTACACCATCTTACTTTCTGATTGAAATCTTAAATCTTAAATTTAAGTTAGGGTAAATTGTGATGCTCTTATGTTGAACATTTTTCTAGCATTCTAGAGTCTTTATTATAGGATAAGTAAGAGATGGCTATTTTCACAGGAAATTCAGATTAGTAGGCTAAGGAGAGACTTCTGTAGAAATCATCTTAATCTTCACATACTTTTCAGTACCAAGATTCAGGTAGGGCACCACAGCCTCTGACACCCATCACTGACAGCCTCCTTTTATAATCTGACCATTTGAGGGGAACACACAGTTGGTGTGTGTTGCAGTACAAAGAAGGTATTGAAGCACCTGCAGAACTGCCTGGTGCCTTTGACTCTGCAGAAGGCATAAGGTTAAAGGGGACAGAATGGTGTAGAAAGAAGGGACAGACTGTATTGCCACTAGCTGCTGGTTGTCAGTCATGCCTATTGCTGATTTATAAAACTTCTTCTAAAAGTCCATCTTTCCTTTCAAAACACTTAGCAAATTCCAAAAAATATATAAATATATATAAAACTCATCTGGCTAGAAGACTGGGTCTTTGCTTTTGTACTAAATTTCAGAAATGAAAACTTCTGCTGAAAGAAGACTCTATGAAGAAGAGGAGACTCACCACTCAGTTGCTGGGCTGCAGCCAGGCGGCTGGGCTTCAGGATAAACTGGCACTGCATCTCTCGGGGCAGCTCTTCCATGAGGAAGGGCTCTTGGAAGTTGAAAGGGGTAGTTGAGTCCTTTGTTCCTGGTGTCAAAAGTGCAGTGTCTCGAAGATGGCTCATTTTAATTCCATAGGGATATTCATGCCCTAGAGAAAAAAACCTATATGTAGACTTCAGACTGACTGGTACTGAGACCTTGCATGCTACAAACAGAACGTACTGCAATTTACTCCTGGGATTTTGGTATAAAGAATCCTTTTGTTGACTGAATGATTACGTACATTCTTACAGTTGGAGACCCCTGCATAATGCAAGTGGTCCTACCAAAGCAGTTTTAAGAGGGGGTGGAGAGAATAAGAAAAGAAAAACCTTTACGGATTATCTTGTTTGGAATGAATGCACAGATCAGTTTGTGAATTGCATAATGTTGACTCTTTGTATGTTTGCATCTGAGAATATTTAAAGGTATTCTAGGATCTCCTTTGACATTCACTAGATCTATAAATATTCAGTAAATCTTTGTCCTCATTCAGCCTCAACTCTAAGACTTAAAATATTTACTCTACCTATAACACAAGTATTATACAGACCAAATAAGTAAACGTTAGTAGCTAACATTATTTAAATAACAGGAACAAAGAACTATGTATGTCAAGCATCACTATCATTATCTACCACATGATGTCTGTGTGATAAAGACATTTCATTACTTTTTATTAGTTACATAATTAGAGTTACTCAAGAGCATTGGGACTGGGTTGATTTATGCTTCCCTCCTAACCACTGCCTTCTGAGGTTGGTGTTCACAGGCAATAATTAGAAGGAAGACAGCAGGGGATCAGAAACACAGAAAACAGATACAAAAAGAAATTTACAAACTAGAAAAACTAAACCCTAGACACCTGACTGCAATGTGATTTTGCTCTTTAGTACTCTAAGTAATTGTATCCTCTTAGTGTCATCCTCAAATACTATTATGCTATAGATTTTTTAAGTACAGAGAATAAGTTCACTTCTATTCCTGAATGTAATTCAGTGAACTCTCACTCTTCCTTCCCACGTGGCATAGGCATACAATGTCATGTTCCATTAATATCAATTACTACAGCAACTTCCAGGGATTAGGGGGGAAAAAAGGCTTCTATAACAGCAATAAAAAAATCAACTTATGAAAATAGCTAGCTGGTAATCTACAATTGAGGATTGTAAGGCACATTAAAATTAAAATATACAATTAAGAACTGCCAAATCATGGAACAATCATGTCCTATTGATTTTTAGTAAAAGGAAATATGAAGTCTGGAGCTGTTTTATGCCGAAAAATTATCATCTGCCTATTTTTAATTAAGTTAATATATTAAAACTATTTTAAATATTTAATTTTTAATGACACCTTTGTTGCTCATTGGCTTTTACAAAAATGACAATATTAAAAACATGAAATGATGTTAATTTTGTTCTAAGTTCTGTACATGATCATTTTCTATATTCTAAATCTGAAAATATACATTTTGTAGAAAAGTTTGGTTTTAGATTAGTCAGATCACTTGGAATACTCTAAATTACACAGTATCAACCTCCTAGATAAATGAAAAGGTTACATGAGACAATGCATATAATACGGTCTGTACAATGTCTGGCAGGTAGTAAGCATTTTAAAATTGTTAACAGAAACTGTCATCATCATTATTGTTGTATCAAAATTTGTTACAGATACTGTCCTTCATTTTGTTCTATTTTTGTTATTAACCACACTGAATAAAATGCTGATCAAGAAATTAACTAGAATGTTTATAGCAGCACAATTCATAATTGCAAGGCTGTGGAAACAGCCCAAGTGCCCATCAATCAAAGAATTGATTAATAAAATGTGGTATATGTACACCATGGAGTACTATTCAGCTCTAAGAAACAATGGTGATATAGCACACCTTATATTTTCCTGGTTAGAGCTGGAACCCATACTACTAAGTGAAGTATCCCAAGAATGGAAAAACAAGCACCAGATATATTCTCCAGCAAACTGGTATTAACTGAGTAGCACCTAAGTGGACACATAGGTGCTACAGTAATAGGGTATTGGGCAGGTGGGAGGGGGGAGGGGGGCGGGTATATACATACATAGTGAGTGAGATGTGCACCATCTGGGGGATGGTCATGATGGAGACTCAGACTTTTAGGGGGAGGGGGGGAAATGGGCATTTATTGAAACCTTAAAATCTGTACCCCCATAATATACCAAAATAAAAAAAAAAAAAAAAAAAAAAAAAAAGAAATTAACTAAATGATTTAAATAAAGTGAGGTGTAACCTATTTAATTCCTCAAAACTAATTCCTCAAAACACATGCTGGAAAATTAGGCTAGAGAAATAGCAAATGGGTTAATCTCATTTTCTTTATGATGCCTAAGAAAGTTCTGGGCACAGAGCAGGTGTTACATACTCATGGTGGATTAAGATGCATGACTGAGATTATAGATTGTCTTCCATAGAGGCAGCATATAGTTAGGAAAAGGGACAGGAAATTCAAGAACTGAACATGAAAATAAATGTATGGAGAAAAAGGAATACCAATATCAATACATATTGCCTTCTTACAGGAAAATTTTTAAAAATTTGGCAATATAACTAAAGTGAAAGAGCAGAGAGGAAAATTTACATTTCTCCTCTCAACTATACCATTAACTGCTTGAACGAGGAGATATTATTTGCAAAGAACATAGTAAATGCTTAATTATATACTTATTAGATGAGTATCATGAGAGATTACTTAATAGCATTTAAGCTTTGGACCAGATCATACAACCAATTCTCCGAGACACTTAGAATTAAAGTGTAAAGAATAAAAACACAATCAATTCGATTTTCACAAAAACTTACCAATGAGTGGGTATGGTGCATCTTCCTTGCCAGAATTGACCCATAACTGGTAATCTCTCTCAGAGCCCTTAGAGATAAAAGAATTAAAATTCGCAATACATCTTTCACATTTGGTGCTTGAATGAGGACACATTTTTTGGCATTTTTATGTTTTGCAAAAAGAAAAACCTGGGGACAATGCTATTCAGGTGCACGAGGGTGGTTATGGTTATTGAGGATGTAAGTGCTGATTCCTACAACAAATCTCCCTTTCCCCATTCCCCGATAGAGGACTCAGGAATCTTGCCTTTTTCCCTCCTGTGATGGCTGGGGATCCATGAACTGCAATGGAATCAGGCCCTCACTATATAGGTAGCACATGGAATGTGAAATCATAGCTACCGTGTTTCCCTGAAAATAAGACAGGGTCTTATATTTATTTTTCCTCAAGAAGACACCCTAGGGCTTACTTTCAGGGGATGTGTTATTTTTTTTTTAAGTACGGTACAACAATCTACATTTATTCAAATATAGTTAAGTTGTCTTCTTCTGGAACATCATCATAGTAAAAGAGCAGCCACAGCTTTCCTTCTTCCCCCTGGAGACACATAATACCTAAAGTGGAGCATCCTGCTCCTCAATTCGCTGAGGAGACTTTGCCCTCAAAGCCTCAGCTTGCAGCATGCACAGGATGGCCGGGACCTGACAGGGGGAGCTGACCTTGTCGGTGGGGCTGCCTGCACCTTCCCGGTCACCTCTGCGATAGTAGCTGTCACAATGGGGCAGATGAGAAGGGCTGCTCCTCTACTTTACCGCTGAGGGATGAAATGCATGGGTTGCGCAGATATACTGCTGTAGCCACGCCCATCACTAGGTCTTATTTTCAGGGTAGGGCTTATATTGCGCAAATGCTTAGAAATCCTACTAGGGCTTATTTTATGGGTAGTCTTATTTTCAGGGAAACACGGTAAGCCCTTTTACAAAAGAACAAACTTCCTGGTTCTAAAAGGCTAATCTGTTCTTTAGAGTCCTGACTTCCGCTGTATATCTGGACTTCTCAGAGAATATTGGACTTAACCTCCAACATGCCCCTGCAAAGAAACCTTGTTATCCAGAAAGCCACAAATACTGCTGTGTCTGTGGCTAAAAGTAAAATATCAAAGGCTGATTATTAGCTCTTCTGAGTAGGAGAAGAATGACCAAGAGGCTTTGAGAACATAGGTAGTTGGCATAGTTTACACTGCCTTTAGTTTGGGTAAGTCCAATCCTGGGGACAGGAAGGATAAGATTCTATCTAGAGAATAGGCTCAGTCGTGGAAAACAATAAAATTGTTCGCTAGCAGAATTATAACCCAGCAACACTATAAGTCCCACTTGAAAGAAATAACACTAAATTATATGGATTTTGCTAAATCCTCTAGGAGGGATAAAGTGAAAATGCTTTAAATGAAGCTTGAACAGATAAATCTGTTGGCAATATTTCATATCCTTGCCTTTAACTTCTGGTTAAAAATCATGGGCCTGGCTATGAAGGACACCATGCAAACCACCCTCCCTTCCTCCTCCCAAACACTCAGCTTGTCACTTCCTCCCTGCTCTATCCCCTAGCCAAAATTTTTGTCATAAATAGGAATAGTAATCTAATAAAAATATTTTATTTTTATGTAGTACCTGATAACATTGTAATAATCCCTTAGAACAGGTATAACCAAACAGCCTCAATTTCTAATCAAATTAATAATAGAAATTTTTTTTTTTTGGTTTGAGGAGATTGATCATTTTATCCAAAGGAAACCCATAGATAAGAAAATTAATCATGTCATTAATCTCTATTCCTAGCCCTAAAACTATCCACTCTCTTCTAAAATATATTCATACAGGTTAGAAATCAGTGTAGAGATGCCTTCTTCATTCAGTACATATAAATTTAATTACACTTTAAATGTATTACTAAATTTAATTAGATTTCTTATCCCAAATTTTGATTGCCCTGAGTTCTTAAGGGCTTATCACAGCACTGTGTATAAGCAAATGTAAATACAACGAATGATATTATGGCATGTTTTAAATATGTATCATGTCACATAATTGTGACAGTGTACTTACTTTAATATTTATAGAGAATCTCATTCAAGGAATAATGTTCTTAAAGTGCTTCCCTTAGATTCCATCTTATTGAAAGTCACTCCCTTTAATAACAGTACTCATTGTATGGTGTTATATAACTGGTAGAGAAGCAATGAGAAGAACCTTCCAGTTCTCTTTCTTCCACCTCATCCTCAAACATTATAATATTCTCCACTACCAAAATTTCAAAAACTAACCTCTGTCACAGAAAAACAGGAAAGGAAAGAAGCTAAAAGCAAAACATGGAAGAATGTGGTGTGAATACTAAAATTAGAGTCTAATCTCATTATGTTTTTCAGTTCATACAAGTTTTAAAATAAGAGTAGATGAACAGCACCCATATATTAAGCTGGTATTAAAGCTTTATTGTCCTTAACTTCCACATTTTGGGGAACAAGATATGACTGGTATTTCTAATAATCAGCTGTCTTATGAAAGAGATAATATTTACATACATTTAAAGTATCAAAATCTGTTTAATTAAGATTATCTAGCAGAGTAACTTACAGTTATCCCTAGCATTGAAAATAACATGTTGATAACTTCATTCGCTGTATCTGAATTCTTTACTGTTATAGTTTTAGACTGTAGAAGAAAAAGAAATGAGAAATACAGCTATAAATATATAATTTAAAAATAGGTGAATAAATCATTGTCAAATAATTATCTGAAGACAAATCTTGATTTCTTATGGAAAAAGTAAATCACGAGACTTAAGTAGAACATGATTATAATTTATATTTATTCCCTTATATATTATGCTTTTTAATAAAACATTTATTTCTCTTAAAATAAAAAATTCATGGCCCACAAAATATAACAGCTTAAGCAAGTAAGAAAAAGACTGACTATATTACAGAGACAGTACAAGGATGCAGATCCCAATAAGAAAAAAAAAAATCAGTGAGGCTGATTGACTGCCTCATTTCCATAATTGTATTTCCACAATGTAATCAGTAATAAAAGAAGAGAAAGAGCTGAATCTCTTTCTATTTTTTCCTGAGTACTGTTTTCACAGTACAGAGTTTTATTTCTTTGCATGGTATAAAGTCAGTTCAGGTAAAATCAGAATAACTGGTTATAAAAAACATTTAAAGCTTAGAATTTTTAAAAACAACTATTTGTGGAGCACCTTCTATGTGTCAGACACTGTGGCTACTAATATTTTCATTGTTGAAATCTTTTGAAGATTTAAAACCAATGAATCTAAGAAGTACTGAAAATTTTAGAAAGCTCAATTCTATTACCAACTCTGCCATTGAACTGATAACAGCTCTGTGTTAAACTACAGTGAGACCTGCTCCTTAAAATGACAATTTTCCAAAAACAGAAAAGGAATTAGCAAGATTCTGAGATATCTATAGAGCTCGCTGAATTCCAAAATATATTATTTAAACAAAACAATGCTATGTTATTAAAAAAGAAATATTTTTGCTATAAGTTTTACATATGATAATTAGTTATTAAGGCTATGTCTCTGACAGAGAGGGCTTAAGAGGCACAAATAAGAAACATAAATGGAAATATGATATTTAAAAATCATAAAAATAAAAGTGAAATCTATTAATAATCCATCACTATTCTTCCATTAATGTATTTTTTCCCTATGATCCAATTACTTGACATGACAAATGGCCTCTAAAAGTTGTTTGTTAAATGAATTTTAATTTGTAAAAAAGTATTTTAAATGCATTGATTTTAAATTGTACTTCTTATACCCCCAAGGATTATGCAAAATTGTCTCAGAGTCCAACTGGCAGGTTTTGGAGCACCCAACCCAATGTCTGTCTTCTACCAGAGCATCATAGGTATGTTACATACTGGGATTTAATTTAAAACATAATTTCAATAAAGGTTTCTGCTTTTTTTTTTTAAGTCTAAAAATGTTTCCATTTAATTTAAAGAAACTCTCTCATGAAGTCTTTTGTAAAGTGAAGAATCTAGCCTTGCAATGGCCTGGTTTCTAAGATAATGGTTTGTCTTAGTACTAAGCCCATACGTTTAAAATAGTAATTATAGAAAGTATATTTTTCCTGCATGCTTTTCTGGTAGACAAAACAAATGAATTTCAGCAGATAAAAGCTCTTTGGCTAATACATAACAAAACAGACAAAACTGAAAATGTGACTATTTTGTTCCATATTAGCAGAATTCACTGACAGGTTGTATGTAATTAAAGACTAACATAGTACTTCCTATACATACACTCCTATTTGGGGGAATAACTCTGGAAGCAGGGCTCCTTGAAAGAGACTCTTGCTATGAAATATACTTCACAGAGCAAAGGACAGAGTGTGTCACATCATCTGTGACTTATCCAGGGTACTAGCAATAAAAACAGAGCACCCGACCTGACCACATCTTTTGTCTTTTCTAAAATGGCAGTGGGACATCAGTCCTTTCTCAAACACACACTTTTCCAGACACTGAAAAGAAAGTGTTAAAAAATTCAAGGGGTTTTCCATGAAAATCTTGAATGTAACCAACTGCCACAGCTGAATCAAAGCAGGCAGGAACAACAGTGTTCTGTTTTTTTCCTACTTTGCTATAGGACATCTCTGTAGTTTCATACCATAAAAATTTGAGTATTTTCCTTCAGCAGTGATATCTGGCATTCAGGAGTAGGACATAACAATTTGCATAACTTTTTCTTTTGGCCAAAACATAACTATTTTGCACTACATATTTTTCCATAAATAAATAAAACTATTCTGTGTGATCTAGAACTGCTGTGAAGTATGACTGTCCATAGTATCATAAAAATAGTCATAAGTTTCCATCTTATTCATCACTGATAACATCTTGGCTCTTGTACTATAATCAGTCATCAAATTATGCATAATAACTGGGGTTAAAGACTTAATATTTATTTGACCAAAGTGATAAACACTGTGAGGCAGAAAAGTGCTGATCCCTTAAAAATGTCACCTTTTCCAGATCATCCACTTATTAACCTGAGGGATTCAATTCATAAAACTCAATAAACTTTTCAAAACCACTCTCTACTTAAGAAGTGACAAGTTGGAAAAAATTGCTTAATAATAATAGGAAATACCTCTTTCTGGAAATAGATTTACTACAAGTCTGTGCAGCTGCTATTGAAAAGATTCAGAGAAACATTCATGGCAGAGGGAGGAAAGAGATATCTGACAAGTACTGTTCTTTCCAAGCACAAATGTTAAATAATGTAATTAATATGAATTTGTCTTGCTTCATTTTCTCTAGGGTTTACTTCTCATATATACAAAGACACAGAGATATCTAGGAAAAGTCATCTTCCCCCTATGTTATCTCTAAATGCCTACCTTCCATAGCACATACACAGTATATCTGTCTGCCTGTCTCTTTTTATTCATGCTATTCTGCTTTATGCAGGGACTTGGAATTTAATTTTCTGGCTTACAAACACTTACATAGACACAATTCCCAATGTCCTTGGCGAAGATTTTGAGGGGAATGCTCTTCGGGTAGTCCTTCTCTTTCTCTAGATTGATGTATCTAATCAAATGCAACAACAACCCAAAACAACACTGAGTCAGATAGAATTTGCTGATAGCTTATTTTAAAAATCAATCTATTTTACTAATATTTTTAGTATACTTATATGCTATTTTTAAAGACAGATGAAAAGACTCAGCAAAGTCAGATTACATTATGGGTTGGAAGAGAATAAAAAAAATTTTTTAGGACATTAGGCATGGGCACAATAAAGAATGAGGCCTCCATGTCCAGTGAGGTTTGAGAAACACAATCAGGTTAAGGCGCCACTGGGTAATGTTTTATCCTTAAAACTTCCCTGCCTTCTCTGGACAGGTCCAGCACCTCACAGATAACAACAGGAGTATATAGAATACAAGGCCAAACCAAAGCAGTGACCCTTTACTTCTCATCTAGCTCTCCAATAAAGTGTAAATCTTGGTTATCCCATTGCTTGGGGAGGGGGAGAGGGGCAGAAGGAGGGAAGGACCATGGGTCTAATAAATGAGCCTATGTCTATCATTTTAGTTGGTATGCTCAATGGTGGGGTTAATAATTGATTTTTGAGGTGCTCAGCAGAAAACCCTGCATTTATGGAAACTTAATACATACTTTGAGGAAACTGTTAGCTCCAATTGGTAGCCTGGAGACAATGGAAAGAGATGGAAGGTATTATTGACTAATTTCTGTCTAAAATGATCTAACTAGACCTCAGTGTTCTCCTTCGTAGAAAGTAAGAAATATACGTAATGAAAGAACATTATTTATAGCAAGTAGTAGCTAGTGAATAATATAAATAGCAGCTTATTTTCAGGACAAATGAACAATTTCTACTAAGAGAAGGGGAATACTTTGGGGGCACATCTCTGCAGAAAAGGTTTTTATTTGTTTGTTGAAGGTTGAAGATTAAAATATATATACTGAAAAAAATACCTTTGAAGGAGAGAGAGCCATTTGTCCTTTTGTTCTGGAGAACTGCAATTAAAGAAAATGGAAGAGAAAAATCACATAAAGTACTTATGTTAACATATTTAAGATTGTCAATGCAGAAGAAAATAAATAGCCTGTTATTAAAGTAGTTGCACATGTAAGATGCAACCTCAGGGTAATTTTGTTCTGAGGAATCCTGTGGTGAAAATGCCCTTTTGAAAAAATCACATAGTGAAGTAGAGTTTTATTAAATTCTCTTGGATGTATCTAAGATAGACACTCTTTTCTATTTTACTGCTTTTTTATAAGTGATATACCTGTAAGAGGTAGCTCTTATACAAAGAGTACTTGATTTGGAATCTAACACCTGGTTTTCCCACATCTGTAAAACTGGGTTAATTATCTCACTCAGAGTGTTTTTGTAGCTTAAAGGGCCACACAAATAGAAAATATGCTTAATATTGAGATTAATACAGTAATATGGTATATGGATAAAAATATCTCAGCCCAGAAACCAGACTGTTCTCAGGAAAATAAACATTTTTCTAAAAATACATACATAATTATAATTTAGTAAATTAGTTCACAGAAAACTTGTTCTTAATTACTATAAACTGGTTAAGGTCAATCCATTTATAACTAAATTATTATTCATTAATATAATAAGTTTTCTTTCATTACAGCTGAATTTAATTCTTAAAGTTAGAAATAAAATTAACTTTATTCCTATATGGTCTTGTTACTCATAAGCTTTTAAAATCATATTTCTAATCTATTTAGAGAAATTGGAAACCCTACTTATTTTCTTATTCCAAAAAGATACACTTCATAAATATTTGTAATTTGTTTCTAACTTAGCAATTTTCTCCATAAGCAATCTCTCTGGATTGGCCATCAGAAAGCATATTACATCTTTTTTGCCACTAACCATGCAACTTCCATCTTTAGTGATTTCTTACTATCTTTTCTAAAAAAGATTTTCTAGGTTCAAGTTTTCTAGGTTTATATCAAATCTTGGATTTACAGCAAAAATCTGTATTGAAAATAGATGAGACATTTTCTTCAGACCCATGAACTGTTTTCAAAACAGTTAAAGAAAACTACCCCTTTAAGACACTTAGTAATTTTTAAACTTTTAACTGACAAAAAAGATAAAGAGAGAAAACTACACAAAGCTTAAGCGTACAGCTTGAAGAATGTTTACAAACTGAACACATCTATATAACCATCACACAGAATACGAAACAGATAATCACCTTACAAGGTCCCCTGATGTTCCTTTTCAGCTAGTAGTTCCCACTATCCTAACTTCCAATAGCATAGAATAGTTTTGCTTGTTTGGGTACTTTAAGTAAATGTAATGATACAGTATATAATATTTTGATTCTGGCTTCTTTCATTCAACATTGTGTTTGTGAAATTTATCCATATTACTGCATGCAGTTTTAGATCATTCATTCTCATTGCTATATGGTGTTCTGTTGCCGGAATATATTGTATCCATTACTTCAAAAAACAAACAATTATTAAGTGTGTCAGGTGAATTTACAGAGATTGATTTGTGTAATCTTCTCACATATTTACCCTTTCCCCTGGCTTACACTAGAATCCAGGACTCTATTTCTTTAGTAGTTCTTAATCTCAGGCATTTTTACAGGACTAAAACCAGAAGTGCTCCAAAGTCTGAGTTTCATAAACACTCAAGCCCATCAAAAAAGAGAAAACTAATATTCAGGAGAGGAGAAGGCAGTGCATCTTAAAGAAATAAAAAAGGTATAGCAGATTAGAAGATTCTCTCATATTGTGGAGGGCATAGAGCTCTGTCATCCTTGAGAGTGAGCTGGGAACCATGTCATTCAGTTAAGGTGTCCTAAGGAAACAACCAAGAGGAAATGATTTTACAGAGCAACTAGAGAGCCTGGGTCCCAGGAACCAAGGTTTTTATATCAGTAAATATAGCTGCACACCACATGTGGCAAAGAAGCAGAATATCTCTGGATGTACAGAGACAACTCTGGGTATAGAAAAAAGATGGGGTCAGTGACCACAGACCACTGAGGGTCAGAAGACTTTTGTGTGTTTTGGAGGCATCTCAGAAGTCTCCTGTATCTGATTCTACCTTAAGAAAACAGTGGTTCCAGTAAAGAAGAAAATCTGATTTCCTACCATCCTGGGAAAATGGAGGTTTAAGGGGAGCTTTAATTTGATCTCTAAATAAACAGGCATACCTGAGTTTACAGTTTAAGATTTACAATAGGTACTTAAGTTAAAATATTATTCTTCTGACTATTCTTGTAGATAGATCATTGTCAGATACTTTCTGGGTATTTTAAAGAATGTAAAATATTTTAAGTACTTTCTGGGTATTTTAAAGAATGTTCCCATTATATCAGACAATTATCTATAAAATCAAGGTGTAGCACCTATTCTTCTGGTGGATATAAATCCAAGGTTTGTGAATCAGAGTACATATAATGACAGAGATATTAAATTATTTTTGGACTTTTTTTAAAGATATGACTATCCTATTTCCCAAAGTAAAGCATGTGAAGTCCTCAATGATTGCTCTTTCCCCAGTTCCACTCAGTTGGGAGTTCTTTAATTCTGGCAGTTGTTGGTCTTAGATTTCAAAGCTGTTAGTTCTTACTTTTTTGTTTATTAATATTTATTATAGTAACTGGGTAGGAGAGATTGCTTGTTGAGCTGCTAGCATGATGGCATTTCAAACTAGATTTCCCTAATATTAACTGAGACTACACGCCATTTCCGATGGTCCTCATCTCTTCCTAAAGATCAGAGTTCCCTCTGATACCATTTCACTTCGGCTTGAATAACTTCTATTAACATTTATTTTTGGTAGAACAGGTCTGTAGGCAATAAATTCTTATACCTTTTTCTTTTTAAATTCTATTTCACCTTAATTTTTTAAGAATATTTTTGCTGGTTATTGTATTCTAAGTTGAAAGTTGTTACTGTCAACACTTTAAAGATGTTGTTCCACTGTCTCCTGACCATCATAATTTATGATGAAAAGTCCACAATAATTTAAATTGTCATTCTCCTATTTGTAATGCATTGCTTTTCTCTGTCTATTTTCAAGATTTTCCTCTTCTCTGATTTACAGTAGTTGTCTATAACATGACCAGGTATTGTTTTCTTCATCTTATCCTGAAGTCCACTAAGCTTATTCCAATCTGTGCATTTATGTCTTTTACCAAATTTGAGAGGTTTTTATGCATTATTTCTTTAAATATTTCTTCTGCCCCATTCCCTCTCTCCTTTGCCTGGAATTCCAATTACATGTATATTATACTTTTTGACATTTTCCTACCAGTCCCTGATGCATTTTTAATTTAAAAAAATCTTTGTTTTCTCTGTTCTTCGGATTAGACAATTTGTACTGATATATCTTCAAATTCACTGACTATTCTTTCAACTTCCATTCTACTAGGAAGGCCAATATCTTTTAATAAAATTTGTAGTTTTCAGTTCTAGAATTTCTATTTGGCCATAATAAAATATTTTCCATTTCTTTGCCGCTATTTCCTGTCTTTTCATTAAGTTCAATTGGATTTTCATTTTACTTACCATGCATACTTATGAAAACTGCTTTAAAGTTCTCTTCTAATAATTTAACATATGGGTCATCTCAGGATAGGTTGCTATTAATTATCTTTTCTCTTTCCTTGTTCTTCATGTGTCAAGAATTTTAGATTATATTCTGGACATTACAAATGTTTTGTTTTAGAGACTCTGTATTCTGCTATATTTGTAAAACAGTGTTGATGTTTTTGTTTTAGCAAGCAACTAACTTAATTAGCTCAAGCTACAAACTCTATTTCACCTGTGTTGGACAGCAGGTCAGTACAATTCTTTTAGTCTTAGCTTCAACCTGCAAGTCTATCCTAGGCATGTGGGGGTTCAGTGATCAAAGACTTGGGCAGTGTCTATACACAGAATTTGTAGCTTCCCTTCTCTGACATGTTCATTTATGAGATTTTCCCCTTCATGCTACATTATCTGTGGTTGACCTGGACTTTATACCCTTCTTCTTCAGCCCAGGAAGATTTTTGTCAGTTTTAATTGCCCTGTACCATGATGTGACTGCCTCTTTCCCTCAGGTCCTCAGGTGGAAGCCTTCAAAACAGGAAACTCACCCACTGCTAGTGACTTCTTCCAAGTTTTAATTCTTCTCCAAAATCTTCCAACTTTTGTTCATTCTCTAGAACCCTCAGGTAGTTTTTGGAGTTTACAGTTGTTATTTGTAGGGTGGTCAGTCTGTTAAGACCCTACTCTGACATACCAGAGGCATAACTGAACACTTTACTTTTTTAAAATATAAACTTAATTCTTAAATAATTGTAGATTTCCAGAGTCCCTGAATACTTGTCATCCAGTTTAAGTTTCCTCTAATATTACCCTCTTACATTATAATGCCTCGTTTGTTAAAACTAAGAAACCAATACTGATACATTACTATTTTTTTTTTTTTTTTTTTTTGAGACAGAGTCTCACTTTGTTGTCCAGGCTAGAGTGAGTGCCGTGGCGTCTAGCTCACAGCAACCTCAAACTCCTGGGCTTGAGTGATCCTTCTGCCTCAGCCTCCCGAGTAGCTGGGACTACAGGCATGCGCCACCATGCCCGGCTAATTTTTTTATATATATATCAGTTGGCCAATTAATTTCTTTCTATTTATAGTAGAGACGGGGTCTCGCTCTTGCTCAGGCTGGTTTTGAACTCCTGACCTTGAGCAATCCGCCCGCCTCGGCCTCCCAAGAGCTAGGATTACAGGCGTGAGCCACAGCGCCCGGCCAGATACATTACTATTAACTAAATTCTTGAGTGTATTCAGATTTTACTTGTTTTTCCTTTAATGTCCTTTTTCTGTTCTAGAAGTCAACCCAGAATACTGCATTATATTTAATTATCATGTCTCTTTAGTAATGGATCTATGACAGTTTCTCAGTCTTTCCCTTTTTTTGTTTCTTGACTTTGACAGTTTTGAGGAGTATTGGTCAGTTATCTTGTAGAATGTCTCTCAATTTGTGTTTGTTGGATGTTTTTCTCATGATTAGACTGGAGTTATGGGTTTTTATGGAAAAAGATCACTGAAGTGCATTGCTTTTGTCATCACATTATATCAAGGAATTCATTACATATCCATACACATCACTGGTGATATTAACCTTGATTACTTGGTTAAAGAACCATAGTTTAAGCAATACAATATATCAAACTTGTTTCTACATTTCCCTCTTCTTATAAAGAAGAAATTCTTTGATTAAATACATCATCTAGTCACACCCCTCACTTGAAACGGCTTCCCTTTACCTGTAACTCCAAGGAGATTAAGCAATAGGAAATGATAATATCTACAGAAATCTGTCATGGAAAAGAAGATATGCAGAGAAAGATACAAACATATGTTTCTTCCAAATAAGTTCTTAAAATCCTGTGATAGGCCAATAGTGTATAGTAGAGTTTACTGACATGCCTGTCTTTTAATAGAGAAGATTTAACAGCTTGGAAAATTTTAGTTATCCGGCTTTAGGATGATGCCTGGGGAGTCTGGTGGTGACGAGAAGAGAACAGAGTGAAAAGCATCATGTGCATGTAATGGACACTAACTCTTTAAGGGTAAAACAAATACTAGAGTTGGAACACTCTAAAAGCACAGGTATAAGTTTGGTATGCTCACCCTGAACTTTTTAGTGCCAATTAAGCATGTTCAGGATAAGAGGACAAAAATTCTTTATTCATACATTCTCCAACCTCATCCCCTCCTAGGAGTAAGTCTTGGGAAACTAATTTTTACTTCTTAAAATCTTAAGTTTTCTCTTGATTGTAATCTCTATAGATACTAAATCAAAACCTGATACACAATTCAGGTAACCCAGTATTTCATGACATTAATTTAACTGGTATAATGAAAACCTACTTCATTAGAAAATTTTGGAGTATAAACTAGTTATTCAAACTTAATTGGATTATTTATCAAAATTTGCTTCAGTGAAGGTCATTTCAGTGGTTCAAAAAGACTGATAAGACTCAGAAGCTCAATATGTAAAATAAATACCTTGATACTAGGAAAGGAGATATTGGAGAGGGAGTCCTAAAGATCTGACTGGTCTATTCCCCTTCCATATTCCTGGAAATTCCTATTCCCCCATTGTTTCAATAGAGACCCTTTTAAAAATCATTGGTCAAACGAAGAAAATGACTCCAAGAGTTCCCAACAGTACCATTAATTTTCATATATTTTAATCAAAAGCTCTTTGGGAGAAACATAAGTCGCAAAAGTATCTTGCTTGGGTGCATGTGTCAAAAGATGAGTTACTGATGTCACAAACAATTAGAATAAAATATTTTCCTTCTAACAATCTGGGGAACAAAATTTGCTTAAATTTTTTCTCTCATCCTAGAAATTACCGTAGTAGTAGCTAAACTAGGTAAATACAGGACAAACTGTGATTCTTACCTGAAAGTGGCCACAAAGTTCAGAGTGGGCCAGCCCAAGACAAAGGATTTCATAGTATTGGTGTTGCCTTCTCCCACTTCATCCACACAGCTTGCTATCCACATATCAGTTAATTTAATTTTGTTTTTAATCTTAAAGTTATTATTATACCTAGAAAGATAAAGCCAAAAGGACCTCTTGTTATTTTGTTTCCTAAATTTTATGGGAGATTCTGTACTTATAATAAATGTATTATTCACTGCTTTTATCTTCAGTGCCTAGCACAGTAAACTGTAGCATAGTTGGTTACCTTGGCCCAAGAATGCTTTTAAAACATTTGATGAAACATTTATTCCTCATGCTTGCATGTATGGCAGCAAATAGCTATCAACTGGCCACTTTACTTTTCTGTATATTGAGCATTGCATTTGGATCCAAAACCTAACTTTAAATTTACTGCTGTTACAAAAAATTAATTCATTTATTATTTATTAAAATGTTTATAAAATTTTCATTTTAAGAGAGATGCACTGAAAAAACCTGGAATTAATTATAGGAATTTATAATACATTTTCAACTGAGTGGTTGTAAGATTTTTCTAGTCTTTAGAGGCATAAGTTATTTTAAATTTCCTTTCGTAAGATTTCCCGTATAATCTGGCTAAAACTGAAGAACTGTAGCCTAAAAACGAATCTAAAAGAGAATAGGGTTGACACAATTAACGTTTATCTCTGGGGACTCAGAAGGAGATCTACTTGTAAGTCAGCAGTGAAACTGCTTTTTAACAATTTCTACCTAATCCCCCTTAGATCCCTAATATGGAAACCATCATATCTTTTGACCTAATTGACAGATTTGGTGCTCAGATAGACCTGAGACTTAAATAGATAAGAAGAATGCCCAGGGAAATTTGGGTACATCCTAGTTTTCAGCAAACACAGTCAACATCCAGCACAAAATGGAGCAAATATAATACTTTAGCCAATAAAAGGAAAAATTTAACACCCTATCATTGCACTTACTAAAATTCCCTTAGTTTGACCAAATAAATATGTGGCAGCTGGTCAATTATTTATCTCACTTGCATTTACTTCTATAGGCCCAACCTAGGGACTGAAAGCAATTTCCAAACGAAGCCTAAAGATGAGCTGACATAATATGGAACTGAAGGTCTCCCCTTTTTCCCAGTGGCCAAGTATAAAGACTTAGCGCTGGTCTTAGATTATTTCAACAAATTAATTGATCCAGGGTACCACCCAATTCTTTATCCTAGGGTAAGAAGTCACAGAAAAGACATAGGTTTGTTACTGCAGGAGACAATTTCTTTTTGGTTGCTATTTATTTTGGAAAAATTAAGTTCTTTCATATTAAGAAGGATCTGTGAATATATCTAAATGTTTGCTATGAGAATGATCATGTAATTAATTTCCTAAAAAACTGGCTAATTTTTGTAAGGTGGCATAATTTAATAATCATCATCATCTCCTCAAATACTTATGTTCTTTCTATCTTATTAACAAGCTACAATCAATATGGGAAGCATAAGATTGCAGTTCATGACTTTGAGAATAAGAATTGGAAATGCAACTGATAAATCTGCTGAATGCTGTCACAATGAAAAGGTTTTTCTCAACCTGCTGTTTGAGATATCTATTCTATTTAAAGATCTGATTAGGGAGATTTGCATTTAAAAACCAGAAAAAAAAAAAAGAACCAGAAAATCCTACAAAATCATATATAAAAGTGTAATTCAATAATGGGGGTTCTGTCGATGAGTGTCAGAATTAAACCAATAATCTATGTTAGTTTTCAAAATATTCATCACTGGTCTTCAAGCATATCTTGTATGAATGCAACGATTGGTTGTCATTACATTGACTATGATTAAATGCATTAAAATGTGCTCATATGTTATCACCAACTATTAACTGTTAAAATATAAAAAAAATAAAAATAACATGGATCACCTAAACTTTTAAATATCTCCAATGGATATAAAAAGTACTTAAAATAATCTTTCACAAACTAAATATCTTAAATAATAGCATTTAAATCAATTGATACAGAGTTTTGTCACTTTATAAGAACATTAGAGTGAACACAGAGTTATGTCGGAAAAAATGGTGTAACCATATGTGATAGAGGGACAATTAAAACAAAAAGCTATAAAAGTAGATGATGGGCACAAATTTTGCCAATATATTTAAAATAACAATTTTTCTGGTGGTATATAAAATATTTTTAGCAAAATATAGGTAACATAAAAACCACTTAGATGTGAACAGTATGCAGAACAATAAATAATTTAACATAAAAAAAGAACAAAGGTTCTCTACTCTAAATATTATCATAACTGCTAAGGAAAAAAAACATGAAACAAAACAAAAAAAAGTGAAGACAAATACCTTCTTCCCTAAGAATTGAATGCATGTTATAAGTAAATAGTCTTTAAGGTCCTAAAATTCAGGAAATTGGTTGTTTTCTGCTTACCTACTTCCAGGCTAAGCTTTGCACCTAATGAGTACAATGTGGTAAGGAAGACAGAAAGTGCCAGCTTTTGGAATTGAGGTCTATATTCAAGTCCCAGTTCTGCTATTTCCTAGTTTCCTAGTTCCTCCAATTTCTCTGAGTATCAAACCTCCCTAAGCCTTAGTGTTTGACACCTAAAACAACTGTTTTCTTGAGAGGTTGCTAGGAAAATTAAATGAGACTTTTGTGATTCTCCTATTATAATACCTAGCATATAGAACCCATCCAATAATTTTTAAATAAAGGAATAATTTTTTTAAACTAATGATTTGTTCCTCTATTAACAGTCTTCCTACTCAGAGCTTCAAGTGAACCTTTTCAAGTGCAAAGGCTTGGATAAAAAACCTTTTTTCCTCTCTGTATTAGTCATAACATCATATCCACTTCAATATATATATATGTAGGCATTACTTCTATTTAAAACATTCTGAAACAGTTTCATTATCTTTATGTTTGCCTTTACTTTTGAAAAGTTCACTAAACAATCTATAGCATTTCTCACTAAATGAATAGTTAGTTGGACCATTTTACTCATCACAAACGAAAGACTGATTTAATGGTAAAAAAAACATATGGTTGAGGAATCTTCTATCAAATCCATAAGAAAAGAAAGAGTTAAGTAATAGAGGCAGCAGACAACATATGGGTTAAAAGAATGGACTTTGAAATAAGATAGATCTAGGTTCAAATGTGGGTTCAACTAATTACTCTGCGATCTTGAGGAAGTCAATTTCTCTGAGTATCAATTTCTTTTGTAAAATGAGGAAAATACATACCGCATAGAACATTTATAAGTCTTTGGAAGAATACCTAACATACAATAAAATCCTAATAAATGCTAGTTTTCAATTGTTATTAACACCACTCAGATTTAAATATAGTGTTTTGCAAAATTATTTAGCCTCGTCCATGTCTTATTTATGATACTGAATAACTTCGGTGTGTGAGTGTGGGTAGTAGAAAAAAGTGTTTACTATTCTCTAGTGACTACAAATCTCTTTCATGAGATTAGATTTGTTAAAATACTTTTACTTTTCCTGATGTTTCATAAATAAGGAGAATGGGAAACAGAGCAAGTAGCAGCCACTATGTTCTAGGTTGGGTGTTAACTGCACTGGTATTTAGTGTTGAGCAGAAAGTGATTCCTCTTTGGTACTTCCAAAGTATTAATATATTCCAGATATGTCTATTATCTTCCTCTTAACTATCATTTCCTCATATAAAACCCTCATTATCTCCCATCAGGATTACCACAATAATTTCCTATCTAGTATCCTTGCTTCCACTCTTGCCTACCCTCCAATCCATTATCTAAATAACATGAGGCAGAATTATGTTTTAAAAATATGAATCACATTATGCCTCTCCCCTAATTAAAACCCTTCAGAATAAAATCCTAAGTCCTTATGATAGCCTTTGTGGTACCAAGTCTCCAAGATTGGCTCCAATGATCCTTAATTCCTGATAGTCACACCCTTGTATAGTTCTCTTCCAAGCTGTACCAAGGCTGTTCTGTGTGGCCAATCACATACATCAGAAATGACAGTACATCACTTCCAAAATTAGGTTATAAAAGACTGTGGTTTCTATTTTGGGTGCTATTTCAATGGCCTAGTCTCTCTTTCACTCTCTTGGATCTTTCATGCTGAAGGAAAAAGCAACTACCATTATGAGCAGCCCGGTAGAGAGACCCACATGGAGAGGAAGCCTTTGGCCAACAGCCAGCGAGGAACTGAGACTGCTGCCACCACATAAGTGAGCTTGGAAGTAGATTCTCCAGTTCTAGTTAAGCCTTGAGATAATTGTAACCATGACCATCAAGCTTGAGGGTACGCATGAGGCCCTGTGAGCCAGAACCACCCAGTGAAACACTCCTAGATTCCTGACTCAGAAAATATATATGTTTATAATTTTAAGCTGTTATGTTTTTGGGTAATTTGCTATAAAGCAAGAGATCGTTAATATAGCCTACAAAGGTCCTGATAACCTAACCTTTGTCTACTTCACTAATCTTAATTCCTATCACTCTACTTTGCTCATTATGCCCCAGTTACACAGGCCTTCTTTTAACTTCCCCAAGCACCAAGCTCTCCCCATCACTTTTGTACCTGTTCCCTCTATTTATTAATAGAATGCTCATCATGACATCTATCTAAATGGCTACTTGCTTTTTATCCTTCAATGATTTTTGCCCCTGCCTATACCTACCTAACATATACCCTATCTTTTACTTAACCCAGCACCTTATTTTGTTCATAGCACTAACCACAATCTGTCATTCCCCCCACGCCAAACCCACTACACAAGAAGGTAAGCTCCCACATTTGAATGTAAGCTACCAAAGAGCAAGGACCACCCATCACATTCTTCACTGCATTTCCTACATTTATTCAGGGCATGGCACTAAATGGACACTTGTTGAATGAATAAAAAATTGAAGCTTTTTTTGCAAAACATGAAATAAACATAAAACTCATTTCAGATATTAGGTATAGTAATAGAGGCTAGGCATTCTTAACAATAATCATTGAGTAGAAAGTGTATCCTTGTTAGTGGAAATGTAATTTTATAATAAAAACCAGGAGAGAGTGTACAGTCTACCTACTTGATTTTGGCCACAACAAATAGATCATTGAATAGGAAAAGATGCCGTTCCTGCCTCTGGAGGCCTCTTTTGAGTTCTACCCGGCCATCAATCAGCAGAGTCCTATTGGAGCACACAAATGATGACAGAAATGTGCATGTGTCGATGCTAGCAGAAGGACTTTCCCTGTAACAGATCAAATTCCACAGATCAGTCAAACAATCAAATATAGGACCCAGTTTTATAAAATTATAGCTTATAGTTGGTCAAGAAAAATAAAACTCTACAATTTCTTAATGCAGTGGCACTTTGTCCTAACTAATCCCCCAGTCTATTCTCCACACAGTAGTCTTTAACAGTTTATTATGAAAATTTTGAAACATAAAGGAAAGTTGAAATGGTTTTATGACAAACACACGTATGTATACCTCAACCTAGTTTCTACCATTAATATTTTACTATACTTGCTTTATTATACCTATCATCTATCTGTTCTTCTATCTGTACATTCATTCATTTAAAAACAGGGTCTTGCTCTGGTGCCAGGCTGGAGGGCAGTGACACAATCACAGCTCACTGTAACCTCCAACTCCTGAGCTCAAGCAATCCTCCTGCCTCAGTTACCCGAGTGGGACTACAGGCACATGCCACCACACCTGGCTAATTTGTTATTTTTTTTTTTCAAGATCAGCCTAACTAGGCTGATCTTGAAAAACAAATTTCTTAATGCAGTGGCACTTTGTCCTAACTAATCCCCTAATCTATTCACCACACAGTAGTCTTTAACAGTTTATTATGAAAATTTTGAAACATAAAGGAAAGTTGAAATGGTTTTATGACAAACACACGTATGTATACCTCAATCTAGTTTGAGGTATACATACGTGTGTTTGTATACTGGCCTCAAGAGATCTCCTGTCTTGGCCTCCGAAGGTAAGCAGAGTTGGTAAAATGGTAAAATGTCTTCAAATCTTTTGCTGATTCTTTTAAAAACTTGAACTGAATTATGTGTTATTATACACATATTATCTATCAAGTTATAGAAATTTTTTTATTTATCCTGGTTACACTGTGGTGGTATACAGTGATTTGTCAGGTATATGTTTTGGAAAATATTTTCTCCCAGTCTGTCACTTTCCTGTATAATTTCTTAACTGTATTATTGACAAAAGTGTTATATTTTATAATTGATGAAGTTTAGTTCATTAGTTTTTTTCATATAGTGTTTAATTTCTATGACCTTTCTAAGAAACCTTCACCTATACCTCAGTCATGAAGATATTCTCCTATGTGTTCTACTAAAATACATATGATTTTGTCTTTACAGTTAAGTTTATGATTAATCTCAAATTATTTTTGGTTTATGGAATAAGGTAGAGGTTGAGGTTCATTTTGTTTTTCTACATAAATACCTCATTATTCCAGCACCATTTGTACAAAAGAATTTCCCTTCCTCAGTGAATTGCTTTGGTGCCTTTGTTAAAAATTACATGACCATAAAACATAGGTCTATTTCTAGGGTCTCTATTCTGTTGCACTGATCTATATGTTGATTCTTATGCTACAACCACATTGTTTTACTGTTCTGTCTTTAAAGTAAATCATGAAATTTGGTAGTGTAAGTCCATCAACTTTTTCTTTTTTGAGACTGCTTAGGACAATCTAGGTCCTCTGTATTTCCACATACAGGTGGTCCTCAACTTACAATGGTTCAACTTATGATTTTTTTGATTTTTACAATGGTGCAGAAGTGATACACACTCAGTAGAAACCATACTTCAGATTTTGAATTTAGATATTTTCTTGGGGTAGATTAGGTGAATTAACTGTGTTTTTGACTTATGATATTTTCCACTTAATGATGAGTTTATCAGGATATGACCCCATTGTAAATAGAGGAACATCTCTACATTTTAGAGATTAACAAAGATGAAGAACAAAGAAGGGAAAGTCTATTGTGGCTCAGGAAAAAGAGATGAGCTCAGCTGAAAAGGTACTCAGTCTGAAATTATCAGTGGACTAGGTGGTATGGGAAAATCAGTCAGGTAGGTACCTAGCAGTTGGAAGAGATGTCATAAGTAGAGCTGTCATGCAAAGACAGGTGGATAAATAACATTCTGAGAATGGTTAGAACTGCCAGGGAAGGAACACAGAATAAGAAGTAAGGTAGAAACACAACTTGGGAAAAGATGTAAGTTGAATACATGAAGGGAAGAGAATTTATGAACAAGATGGAGACTGCTGAATAAAGTAGCAGAAAAAGAAGGATAAAAGGCAGTGGTGGTCTAGAGTGCTGAAACTGGTAGGGGGATAATGAGCTAAGGGCTGAGAAGATGTCTGAGGAAAAAGTTATCAATTGGTCATTAGGACCTTCAAAAAAACAATTCCAGGAGAATGGTGAGGGCAGAACTCAAATGGCCTGGGGTTTGAGAGTGAAAGAATCAGAAGTGAAGAACTGAAGGCAGGGACTCTGCTTATTTTTAGCAGCTCAACACATTTAAAAGCAGTACAGCTGGTAAAGAAGGAAAGGTATAAACAATAGAGAAACAATCAGCTCTGAGATAAGGTGTTATCGCTCATTTTACAGATTTGTTGCTATTTGCAGTAGTCAAAATTATACTGCTATTAAGTGAAGGTGATTTACAAGTATGGTTTCAAAATATGTACTTTTAAAAATTCCATGTAGACTTTCAAATGGACAAGCACTTCACATGGGCTCAACTCCCTCCTCTACTCATGGTAACTGAGTTCAGTGGTCTAGGACTTAATGACTTGGCTGTGGGGACTAATCTGAGCCTTTTTTGCTCAGAGTAGTGTAATATGTCAAGTTATCTGGTTGCTTCGGTTTCCTCATCTGTAAAGTAATGGAGGACTATAAAGTCTTTAAATTCTTTTTATAATTTGAATATGGGACTAACTAAAATAACATATACCAAAAGGTGGAATTAAGATCATTGAAAAGAGGGAAACAGATAATGGATATGATTAACTATTTTGGACAGTGCAATCCTATCCTAAAGCATAACTGTAGCTTAGCATTTTTGACAGTCGTCTCAGTGAAATAACCCAGAGTTGAAATAAAATAAAAACCAAACAACAGTAATAACAATAACAAAAGAACTAAGAGATATTTCTTTATTAGTCTAATTAAAAGAGGAGCTCAAGGAATAAAAACTTGTCAGAGTCTTCATCAAAGTATATGGTGTAAGAGGCCATGACCTGTCACCCCAACTATCTGGTTCACCTGGCAACTATAATGAATGGGGATTCTGGCTTCTTGGGTTTGAATAGTATGGGTCACAGTGTCACATCTCTTCTGGGTACACCAAGAGTATGAGGACCATATGCTATCCTGACAGCTCTGAGATAATGCCTGAGTGGTCAGCCATCCCTTCCTCTATTACAGTCATTCTCATTGTGTGGGCCCCTGACCATCATCATCATTATTATTAATAGAGAACTTCTAAAACAGGCAAATTCTCAGGCCCACCTAAGACTTACTGAATCAGAAACTCTGCAGGGTTGGCTCAGCATTCTGTAATTTAACAAGTCATTTAGGTTATTCTAACACAAAGGTCCCCAACCTATGGTGAGTTGTATAATTATTTCATTATATATTACAATGTAATAATAGAAATAAAGTGCAAATTAAATGTAATGCATTTGAATCATCCTGAAACCATCTCCCTTCACCCCCTGATCCGTGGAAAAGTTGTGTTCCATGTAAACATTCCCTGGTGCTAAAAAGGTTGGGGGCCGCTGTTCTAATGCATGTTGAAGTTTGAGAAGCATTACTCCATTATGAGTCTACAACAGATTCTGGTTTTAACATTCTAAAATTCTACAATAGTGTATTCAACGTAAGTATAAGTAGCTTGTAGTTCTACTTCAGCTAAGGTGAAATTCTGAGAGTTATTCCATCATTTCCTATTTATTTTTTCAGCTATAGTTACCTCTTTTAAGAAATGAATTCTATTATGCTCACTGATTACTGATTAAGCACATATCGTATAATAACTTTAAGAGACCTATAGGTGAATAACAAGGCAAGTAAATGAATCAGAATCCTTTGAAAGAAAAGGGAAAGGGAATTTCTGTGTTTGATATTATAGACTGGAATTGGAGCAGAGAGAGAAGAAAAGGCCCACATTCACTATCACAGAGAAAAACTATTTCTCTCTCAAATTCTTTGAGTTGGGGGAGTGGGAGAAGGTATAACAAGATCTTTTAGTATGTAGCAATTTTCAAATTTGTAGAAAATGAGAATAAAGCTTCACTTGCTCTTGTCAAAACTGAATAAGGGCAAGGCTAGCAAGCAATGCATAAATTAAAGAATGACTAAAATAGCATTTTATAGCTTTAATTTTTTATTGCATAATAGGAAAACTTTGCAAGGGGAAAAAATCATCTTTTGCATTTTGGTTTAGTTATTCAAGAAATAACTGCTTTTTAACTATAATATTAATCCATCAGATAGCAGGATGGTTTAAACTAGGGATCCTCAAACTGTTACTCAAAGGGTCAAACAATAAACAGTTTAGGATTTGTGGGCTATACAGTCTCTGTCAAAACTATTCAACTTTTCCCTTGTATTGCAAAATCAGTCACAGAGAATACATAAGTAAACAGGTGTGGCTATGTTCCAATAAAACTTTATTTATATAAACAAGCTGCCTATCTAGGCCAACTTTGCTGATCTTTGGTTTAAATAATATTTCTAAGACATTTTAATGTTTACAAATAAACACTAATCTGAAGCAATTAGAAATTTATCTTTTTTTGCTTGAGTTTGGCCTAGGCCAAAGATTAGACTATTTTTAAATAGCAACTCCAAAGGATTTTCATACATAATAACTCATTTTTCTCCTCACGATAATACTTTCACATAAGTAGATTTGGTGGTGGTATCAGGGAGCATCCACAATGAAATTAAAACAATTTTCTTTTTCTGTGTGGTTTTATCCATCATTTTAAAGATATACATATGAGTATGGCAAGAGATGCCTGAAGACTTTGGCAAACTGAGTGTTGGTTTAAAAAAAATTCATGCAGTACTCTAGAATAAAAGTAAAGATCTCAGCACTCACATAATTTCAAGGAAATAAATCTTTCATAGAAGGGAAAAAACTCAAATAACCTTTGTTTTTTTAAAATTACAATCTTAATTAGCGTTTTCTACTTAAAAA